TCAGAAAGAGATATGTAGTTATGGGGATATTATCTTTCTCTCTTCTTTTAGCACATTTCCTTCCCTCTTCTTAGGCTCCACTGGGAATTCAGTATCAGGCTCTAAATTAAAGTAATGTGAAGGACTGAGTAGGATTGCATGCCCAGAAACCATAACCCCCTACACCAGACCTGCTGTCCAGCTTGGAGGCACGCTCTCAGTCCTGATGGTCATTGCATCCTTGGAGAACATTGCTGTTGGACCTGTAGCACCACCTTCCAATGTGTTTACCCCTGTATGCAATGAGCTTGTACCTATATGAAGAGTGCTACAGTATTATGTTTTGGCAGAATATCTCTGAGTTTACTTCCCAGAAACAGTCAGATAGATTTTTGTACGGCAAGCTCTTTGGCCCCAGTATATCGTTAACTACATCCTGGAACATTTTTCTGGGACAGATAAAATAACATTCATGTGCTGTTCATAAATGTGTGTGTTATCTAAAGTATGCCAGCTATTCCATTCATTTATGGTTCTGATTATATATGAAGTGTCAACCCATGAGAAGTGAGAACAAGTTTATTTTAATGCAACTGATTACACAACACTGGAAGAAAAATGTTTGGCTGATGTTGCCCTTGCATAAATTCTTTATTTTTTAAAAGAAATTATCCCTAGGGACTAATCTTCAAACTCCGAATAGCTTTTACAGACTCATTTTTAAAAGAAGACAGCAACGGGCTTATAAACAACATTTTTAAGAGTCATACAATTACTGGCAATGTAGGGTAATTTCTCCCATAGCACAAGTACAGATGCCCACATCACCTTGCTTAGATTAACGTAAGGCTGTCAGATGTAAATGTTATGGAGGAATTCTTAATTCTCTGCTGGTCAATAAAGTGATTTTTTTTCCACAAATAGTTTCCTGCTCTCCAGACCCAGAGCGTGGCTCTGAACTGCACTCTAATAAACACAAAGCAGAAGTATATTTACTGTCAGATGAATTCTCTTGCAGGCAAACACTTAAAAAACCCTCAGGTCATGACTTGACTTTTCATGTAGAAAAACAGTCAAACAAAAAAAATAATACTTCTGGACTTATAATGAAGGGAGGCGCTCAAGTGAGTCCCACGTGGATGATTTACCTGATTCTGACTTGTCGAATGAGCGTAATTGTTCGGGTCTTTTTACATTGACCAAGCATGCTCTGCAAAGTGTAAAGCTGGCTAAATGACAATTTGTCAAAAAAACCCATATACTGGTTTGTATGCTAGAATTCTCCATGCTCCCATGAATGTCATTAAGAAACTCATGAATGTCTTCGAATACCATCTGTGGGAAATTTTATCTTCCACCTGTGACTGAAAAGGCAGACATCGTCAAAATTATTTATCACTGAAAGAAAAACAGCTGCGGTTTTAGAGGTGAAGCAGGCAAATACTGTGAACAACATATATCTTTCCATTGTCCTCTGTCTTGTGAAGCATTTATAGACATAAAAAATAGCACACAGAATGGATCTGGCAGAACTTTACATTTACTTTGTTCAAGGAAAAGTATCCCAATGCACAGCAAGGCAATGGGGAATCACTTGCAAGAAACTCACTAGTACTTTCTTTGATACAAAATCACAGCTAGCTATAGGTTAGTAGGCTGTCCCTGGATAAGATGGAGTTAGATGCCTGTGCCTACAATTGCAGAAATATCCACTTAATTCTGTGATTCAAACGGAACCCAACATGCAGGGTGATCCGGGAAGAAAAGCTGCTCCGTGTCAGGAAGGCTGGTCACTCGTTTCAACATTGGACACAGGAACTTGTGATGTTTGTGATAACGTTTAGTGCATCTTGATTGCAGATGACAAAGTCTGTTGGCTGAACGCTCTGATTTTCCAAAGCTCTCGTTGTTTGTACTCAGAGTTATTCTGCTGTCTTCTCTTTGGCTCTTTTACTGCTTTCAGCAAGTCTGCAAGAACTGAAAGAGCGTATGGGAAGTTTGACCAAAAAGATGATGTAGTCTAACACTGTATCTTGTTTATTAGGAGATCTTCCAGAGCAATGTTTATATTGAGTATTTATTTATGTACCTCCACAGTATTAAAGAGACCTGTGACTGCTGATGAGCTCTTGGTGCCTGGAGCCCCATACGTAAGAAAGACTTTTACGGTATGTCTGCAGTACTTTTACTTTCGGCATGTTGCATGTGTAAGGTAATCCAAACAGACATTTTCTGATGGGATAATTAGAGCTTATTTGCATTGCTAAGGTTTGCACTTAAAACCCCAAACTGTTATCAGTACTTCCACACATTTCAGGTCTGATTCTGCACTAGTTTATCCTGTCATTATGCCAATGTAGTGCTGCTGACTGAAACGGAGTGTAAAACTACATAAAACCAATAACGTATTACACAAACTCATCTAGACTTTGTACTCCTGGCAGTATTTGCTCTACAGGAGTGAATTACCTGTCCACATTGAAGTTTTCTACTTAGGTCTTTCTAGACTATGATGGGACAGAAATTTTGATTCGTACTCACTATTAGAGAAAGCCTTTCTGCAAAGACGTTTTTGAAGCTAGTCATTAGGAGCCTTGCTTTTTACAGCCTCCTAGTTCAACAAAAAAAAAAAGTTCATTAAAAGCAAGAGGAAAGATTTGAATAGAGTCTTTCCCATGAGTGATATACCAGCCTGTACAATGTCCTTTACTGTATGTTGGAAGCATAGAGATGTTGAAATCATGTCTTTAACCGTTTAGATGTCACTCCTTTCAGCCTCATGGACCTGCTCGAAGGTGATCATGGCCTTCTTTTCTCTTTCCAGATCGTCGGTGATGCGGTGGGCTGGGGCTTTGTGGTGAGGGGGAGCAAGCCCTGCCACATCCAGGCCGTGGACCCCAGTGGGCCGGCAGCCGCAGCTGGGATGAAGGTGGGTTTTCAAAATGGAATGATTTACCAGGGGTATTTGTGCTGCTCTTGGGCTGCCTGTACTTGAGGAAGGAGAGGTGCTTTTGTCTCCTGGGTTGGGTATCTTTGTCTTACTTTCAGGTGTTTGTGCACAGTGGATTCTGCTGCTTTTCACCCTCTTTGTGCTCCTTTTCTTCTGTCCTTGAGATTCCCTTTTCCACATTAAACTTGTTTAACTTTTCCAAGTTGCTTTCTCGATATTTTCCTTTTCTTTCTTTTATTTCTTTTGTTGGTTGGTTGACTGATTTTGGTGGACGGAGTGGAGTTATTCTGAGGGTTTTTTTGTTGTTATTTTTGCCTTTTTCCAACTTTGCACAATTTTAGCTTCCCTCACTACTTTGCAATTTATGTCATTGCTGGTATGCAGCTTCTGGACCCTGCCTATATAGGAGGTGGCAAAGTCAGACATACCTCTTGAAAGTGAAGCTAGTGTAACTTTTTCACGGGCAAGCATTTGTTCACTGAAAAGACATTTTAGAAAGCGGAATATATGATATTTTCATATTTTGTAAAGAATTGAAATGCTTTCATACATAACTTAAGAATAAATAAATACAAATTCTACCTGAAGGCTTTTGTGCTGCTAATGTGAATCCCATTGATTTACCTACTGGTTCATCCTCCATATATCTGTGAGTTAATCGCACTGTTTTACAGTGGGGAAAAGAAAAGCAAAGCATTATGCCAAGTACAGATAAAAGCAAATAAAAAGGGAAAGTAACTGCTACGCCAACTGCAATGTCCAGGCTGGGCTAGGCACAAAGATTAAATGAACAGTTTATGTCGTAGACATTGCATATCATGATATAGTTTAGTAGACACGGTAGTACTGGGTTGATGATTGGACTTGATGAGCTCAGAGGTCTCTTCCAAACTTAATTATTCTATGATTCTATGATTCTATGTTTTATTGCATGGTAACAACACAGATGAAGGTTTCAGATATATTCTACATGCAGCCCAGTTTGCCATGAATTTTGTCCTGCCTTCTAATTTGTCTCTTATCACACTCACCCCCACTGCCTTTCACCCCTGTATTCACACCCACCAGGCTGGAGGCAGCAAGCGCCACCACGACTCCGGGATTCGCATCCTGCCCCTCGCATGATGCCTAGACCTGCCACAGCACCTTCCTTAGCAAATGTACTGCAGGGATTTCTCCCCACATGCTGCTGTTTGGTTGTTTTGGGTTTGTTTTTTTTTTATTTTTTTTTTTTTAAATTACACCTGTAAGACTGTACAGTCTTTGAAGCATTTCATTTTTTGAGTACAGGCAGGCAAATCCCCTGGGAGGGGAAATGGCAGCTGCAAAGCCTGTTGGTGCATGCAACACCCTGACAACATTCTGCTGGCAAACGGCTCAATTCCTGAGGGAGATGGAATTTTTTATGTGTTTTATACAATACCTGAATATAATATACAGTTAGAATTTTTATATTAAAAATGTAATCTTCAGATAATGATAATAATCCTGTCTAAATTTTAAAGGACTTAAATATTAAAATAATGATTTTTTTTCTCTTTATGTTCTAGATCCTGAACTTGGGAGTTTAGTACTTTACAGTATCTTAACAGCTAGCAAAGTAGATCTATTCTGAAACCTCACTTGTAAAAATAACACTATGATGTTATGTGTATAATCTTAGAGATGTCAGTTCTGCACTCAGCAGCTTAGAGCTGAATATAGTGGGGATTTGGTTTGTTTTTACTTTTGATTTCATGCTGGCAGGCTTGTGACTACACACTAGGATGTTTCAGTTAAGCTGTGTTCTTTAGTATTTCACCTGTGAAGCAGATTTTTTGTCCTCATATCTTCCATTCGTGTTTTCCATGTGGTCATGTACTCTGATGGGGTCGCAGAACTTTACCTAAACCATTCAAGACATAATATAAAAGAGCCTGCTGCACTGAGAGAATAAAACAGTATTTTAGACAGTAAAACTGGGGTATATTGCCTTGAATTTGCACAAAGGACAGATCTGATTATTTGCAAAGGTGCTATCTTTTTATAAAATGTCTTTTGCATATAAGACATTATGGCCATATATTAGATGAGTCCCTGTTTAGACACCAAAATTGGCACCCCATTTTCAGAAACATTGAATAACTTTAGCCAGTTTTCTTTGAAAATAAAGATTTTTGTTGAGGTGTTCCCATGGCAATAGGTATGTAAATTATAGTGCAGTATTTGAAATTTTTAAAAATCAGTGTTGCTTAGTCCATCTGTTTACAGAACTCTTCAATCTGGCAAATTTAAAGGAGTCATATGACAGCCTTTAGATGACAGCTCCTTGAAAATAAACCTTCCCCTGTGTGGAAGCTGCTGAAGGGGCACTTTGAAAATAGACTATTGGGCCCAGTAACTTCTGGTGGGCTGGTGCAGGAGGCTTTTGTCTGCCAGTGCTGCTCTGAGCACTACCCCAAAGAAGCGCTAACAAGGAAAGTTGGCTGTGATAAAAAGGGCAAGAATTTGAAGAAGAGCCAAGACTTGGCATTGCAGTTTGTAAAAAAGTTCTTGGCAGTAGCAGCAGGGTTTTTCCTCCTAAGGAGATGTATCCAGTGTAATCGTTTTTGGAAGAGTATTTGTAAAGCTTGGGATTTTGCACTTACCTTTCTTTCAAAGCACTATACTGTCTCTGCATTGCACTGGACAAATCGTTGAGAGAGGATTGCTGCTTACAGTCTCGTCATAGGACCTCTGTTCACTTAAAACTCCACTGTGTATTACATAAAGCGGTGAACATGACAGGCGCAACCCACCTGCAGGACTTTGTGTGGCTTGCTTTCATCTGGACCATGGCTGGGCTTCTGGCCTGCTCCAAAGTGCTTTGAATTGGAAATCTGAGCAGAAATCTCAGTGAGTTTGGGACAGAGCTCTGACCGTATGCGGCGACTGTGTGGTGGGCACGACACTGGGCAACTGGGATGCACCAGTCCGCATCACACACGGGTACCTCTGCGTGGCAGCGCTTGCCACCTCCTTGTATGTGACATCCTCTTCTGAGTCAATTTTCAGACAATTTAAATCTGAGAAAGTCCCTACTAGCATGGTCTGCTGAAGAGGTGTTATGTTTTTTTGGCTTGAAGTCTTGATACCTCTTCTTGGGGTTGGGAAGTAGGATTACCATTTCCAGTCTGATGTTTCAAGTATGAAGCTGAGCAAATAATTTAATAAATAACTTGTCAATTAGCTTTATTGAAGTATTTTTAGACCTGGTTTGTTGAAGAACAGTTGCCTGTGACAGTGTTCTGAAGAGCGTGGTTGCTGTAAGCGCATTAACAAGCGGGAGCTGGAGGCGACGTGAGGCTATGAAAGGAGTCAGTGTTGCGATGCGTACTTCTCAGTTATTTGCAGCTCTGTTTTGCTGTCTGCTGTCGTCAGCAGTGGAAGAAAGGAACAGCAGGATTTTGAAGTTCCCAGGTTACTTTAACACTCAGTGTTGACTGGCTGCAAAATTCGTGTCTCTGCTAAATCTTGCCAGTTGTCAGAAAATTCTTTTCCCTCTTTTTTCGGTGTTTTACTCTGTAAGTTAATTTCTGTTTTTAAGGTACAAGTATTCTTTGACAAAATGTGACTTTGAACTGGTGACTTAAGTTATGCATCACACATTGCTATTTAGTTTGACATGACTGCAACAGAGCATGACAAAGCAAGCAGATCTAGCTTAGTGTGAGTTTGTGAAAGAGACAAATTAATTGCTCATTTTGCTGGTTATGTGTTCTTTGTTTTGGCTGGAGCAATCAGTGTCCAGCTCTAACCTTTGAAGAATGTCTGATTCCTTTGCTTGGGGATTACAATATACAGCCAGGACCATTTCAGCGTGCTTCTGCCCTCCTTCTGATCTTTAAAAGCTGGCACAGGGAGGAGGTCATCCTCAAAAGTTTTCTGCCCGTGCCATCATCTTCTGCATTCACAAATAGTTATTTTAGGTCCAGGTTCTCAAATGATTTCACTAGCAGAGTAAGAGCCAAATCTCAAGTGTAATTGAGTAGCCATGGTGTCATGGAGCAGATTACTGTCAGGTTCTTGGAGGTCATCAGCCCCAGTCTCCCGGCAATCAAAGGAACATAAGAACTATCTGATTAGTCCAGAATCCAAATATTGCCACAATAAAAAAAGTATTACAGGCTTGTGACATAAAAGACTAAAAGCTACGCATTTTAAGGTGCCGAGTGGGGTGAAAACTAACCCAAATCCAGGTGAAGTCAGAGGAATTGCCAATGCCTTGGATTGCTGCAATAGGAAGAAATTTGAACTGTGAGATTCCCGGGAGGTCAAATGTACCCCATGCTGCAGAGAAATGCAAAACCCATTACATTGCCCTTGCCAATCTGACCTCAAACCTGGTGGCTGCTTACTTGGTTGACAAGCAAGATAAACCAGTCTAAAAATCCTTAAATTAATCACCCAGGAAAAAATACCCCATTTATAGCTGTGGCCACTCTCCAGTGTTTTAAAGGATAGTAGGGAAAACAGAGAAGCTTGAACATGGTGAAAAACTTCTTTCAGCTCCTAAAGGCAGCCTAGTGGGAGCCTGAAGAGTGGGATATGTATTGTATCAATAAGGCACAAGGAACGTGCCTCTATTTAACCTTCCCATGAAGCCTGGGAAGGGGAAGATGGCTCAGTGTTTGGTGCTGGGGCTCTAACCCTTTAAAGCATTGGGGAGATGCTTCAGTGCTAACTGAAGATATTGGAAGGATGCTTTCACTATCTCATGTGACTGAGCTTTAAATAAGAGGATGAAGTAGGTCTGGATAAATATTTATACTGTGCACTAGCATATGGTGCTGTTGAAGCAGATGCAATTCAGTCTTAGAATTCTTATCTTATACCGACATGTTACTGATTGTAGAAAAGCATAATTTACACGAGTTGCCATCTGTTTTCAATTACAGCATGAAAACACTGAGGCAGGTTGGTATTTCCCTTTAGCTGCATTATCAGCTCACTGCTGAATT